CGCATTTTTCAGGACTTAGTGCATGAATTGGCAGGTGGGGATTGGCCTACGGTGTACTGGTGGATATCCGAAAGCGGTCCATTCTGCCTGTCTACCTTTAACTGTGAATAGTGCTGTAAGTCAAACTGAACTATTCTCCAATCAGACGAAAATCTCACCTTGGACTAGACTTTGGCGCCGTTGCCGCTCGTTCTCTAGCTGCAAACTTGGCTGCCGCTTCATTCGCTATCAGATGTGGCATTTCGGTTCTCAGCGCTGGCGAAACATCTTCAGACATTCTCCTCAGATACGCTTCCAAATTGATGTTTGATCGATTGGACGATCTAGAAGAGAATTTGATCACCTAGGAGGTTCAAAACACAAAAAATTAGCAAAATATGCTAACCCAAATCCATAAAAATTCAGCACAAAAAAGCCAGAAAGTGAACAAGAATTGCAAACAGTGAAATTCAAGCAGTACTACAAACCTCGACGAAACGCTGGGTGGTTGACTCAGCGCTTCTTCAGGAGTTGGTGGTCTTTGAAGTGTCGAAGATGTCACATCTCTTACGATGTCTGTAGACGTTGACATGTCATAGGTAGATTCGGCGAGAGCAGAGTCTGCCGACATACCGCCACCGATACCATTCCGTAAACAATCTTCATCTTCAGACAAGCCGTCACTAAATTGTTAACCTTGGAAGATAAAAAAGAAAAGCCGAAAATGACATTATAATCATAAAAATTGAAAAAAAATTTCACAATCTTAGGCAGAAAATATCGATAAAATGACCTTTGAGTACATGACAAAACACAAAATACTGTATGCACTAAAAAATAACATTTCGAACCCAAGATCAAAACTCACACATCATCCATATAACCCAAATGATCTGCCTCGTCTGCGATCGCTGCATATTTATCGTATGCTGGTCCAGGTAGGTCTTGTGGGAATACCTCGTTTACATTAAGTATCAAATTGCGCACCAGCTCGTTTACAAAATTGTGATAGAATACCTACAAAAAGCGATTCGTAAAATAAAAAAGTGGTTGAAAAATGTCAAGAAAAAACAATATGAAAAATAAACCCACTTGATCTTTGCCCTCTGGAATAGGTAACAATGTGGGTCCAAAGCATATTGCCATGTTGTGAGGTTCCATCATATTCTCATCAGCAAATTCACAAAGATGCGATAGGAAAGCAAACAGGAATCGTAGCAACAAAATGTGCGACACTGGCAGCTTCTCAATCAGTTCTCGCGCCTGGAAAAAGTAATCGGATAGGACGAACTCAGGAAAGACAGATAAAAACTACTACTATTTGAGCATTTTACCTTCCTCACAAATTCTTGTGTAGAATCGGCTTTAGCGCAGTCGGTGAACTGATCAAATAAGAAAATGGGAAACAGAGGCTCTCGCAGTTCCCTCAGATATAGCTTGAGAACTCCTGCTACTGAGTTCGATTCACTACCATCTGTTAGGTCAGCGAATGCATCGTCGCCTAAAGATAACAGTTGGTAATCGCTTTAGAAAGTATAAAATGGGCAAAAAGTTCCGCATCATTTTCAAAAACGATGAACAAAAATCATCAATTAGATGATAAGATGAAAAAAGAGAAAGAAAAAATAACATAAA